TTGGAGAGGTCGAGGCCGCAGAGCGGCGAGCAGAGGCGCTCGGGCGGGCACAGGCCGTGCGGGTGCAGCGCGGCCGTGAACAGCTCCCCGCAGTGCGTGGCCAGCGAGCTGCCCGGCTCGACGGCGCGCGGCGGCGGCGGCGGCGGCGGCGGCCCGGGCGGCGGCGCGCCGTAGCAGCTCTGGATGACGGGCGTGGCGGCGCGCAGGCCGCGGGCCAGCTTGCCGAAGGGCGAGTACCCGCCGCGCAGCGGGCAGTACTTCCCCGAGCGCTTCAGGCGCTTCTTGCACAGCGCCACCAAGTCCGGGATCTGCAGGTAGCTGGCGGCGGCCAGGACGGCGCCCACGCCGGGCTCGCCCGCCTCGCCCACGCCGGGCTCGGGCTCGTGCTCGGCCGGGCCCAGGCGGCCGGTGTAGATGAAGTCGAGCACGGCGCGGAAGACGGCGGGACTGACCATCTCCTGGTCCAGGCTGATGAGGTTGTCGTGCACCACCAGGGCCTTGAGGTAGGCGCTGCTGGCCGCCAGCACGTTCTTGTGCGCGCGGAACAGCGCGTTCTGCACCACCACGATCACGTCGCACAGGAAGCCCTTGGCGCGCTGCGCGTTCAGCTGGAGCAGCAGCTGCCGGGAGTGCGCCGTCGGCTCTGAGGCGTCCAGCATCGCGGCGGCGGCGGCGGCGGCGGCGGCAGCGGCGGCGGCGCCTGCAGGGGGACGGGAGGAGAGCGGAGAGGCGCTGAGCGCGCGCGGCGGCGGCGTCCGAGCGGGGCGGCCGCCGCCGCCGCCGCCGGACGGCCCCCGGCCCCGCGCAGGGCCCGGGAAGCGAGGCGGCGTGCTTCGGGGGCGGTGGCTCCCCGGGCCTGGGCGCTCCGCTCCGCGCTCTGGCCGCCTTCCCCCACGGCCTCCCCTTATAGAGGGGCTTCCCCTCGCAGGCGGGCGAAGGAGGAAGGGGGGGTCCAGCCCTCGGTATCTCTGCCGATCGCATCACACGCCCCCCTCCGGGTAGGGGGGCAGGGCTAAGCGTTCACACCTGGAGGGGGCAGCGTCGGCAGAGCGTTCACACGTCTTGCTGGCGTTCTTCTCCCCGTCCCGCCGCCCCCGCGCCGCGCCCCGCCCCGCCCCATGGGACCGCTCGGCCGCGCCGGACCCACTCGGGGCGCACGGAGGGCCGAAGTAACCCCACGCTCGTCTCGCGCCCGTCTGCGCGGCTCTCGGCGGCTGACACAGGACCAGCGCCGGAGGGGCCCGGAGGAGCTGCCCGCTCCGACATCGCCCCCGCGCAGGGGAGACCCCGGAGCGCGCAGAAGCCTTCCCCGCACCGTGCCTAGGCCGCCGCGCCGCCACGCTCGGGAGCCAGCCTCGTCGCGGACCGCGGGGCTTTCTCCGTCCCTGCGCGCCTCGCGCTGGCGCGGTCCCGGGAGGCAAACGCGGCACGTCCCAGGTCGCAGGGGAGCGGCCTGCGAGGCCCTCCTCGGGCGGCTCGGCCCGGCTTCCCCTCCGCCGCCCCTTCAAGCCTCCGGGTTCGCAGGACGGGCAAGGCCGGGATGTTTCTCCGGCCCTGTCGCCCTCGCCCTCCGCCGGGCCGGGAGGACCAGCGGCGGGGGAAGCGCGCGAGAGCGGCGAGAGGGCCGCCCCTGCCGAGTCCCGACTCGCACTCCGCAGCGCCCACCCAGAGGCGGCCTCGAACGGTCTGGTGCCCCGGCAGAAGGTCCCGGGAGATGGAAAGAGGAGGGCGGCCCGGCCGGGATCTGCCCGGCGGAGCCCGGGCAGGGTCCGAGGAGCTGCGCTGGAGCCGGGGAGGAGCGACCGAGGCCTCTCGCGCCGGCGAGCGCCCCGGGGACAACGCCTGCCCCGCGGGAGGACGGAGGGGCGCCTCTCCCCTCCGCCGAAGCCGGCTGTCCCGGCTCCGCTCCGGCTTGACATCCCGCGCGGGAGGCGGGTCGGGAAGCGGGAGGCGGCCGCCTCGCCTTGTCCCAGCGCCCTTCCGCGGCGCAGCCCCTTTCTGGCCGGCTCCTTGCGCCGGGATCGCTGCACGGACGGGCCGCGGGAGCTGCCGAGGCGACCTCGCCGGTCCCTCGCCGAGGGGCGACCGATCCGGGGCTCGCCCGCGCAGCGTCCCCCGCCGGCGCCGGCGCTTACCTGGGAGTCCCGGCGAGTCCTCCAGGCAGGCGAGGTCCGTGTGGACGCGCATGGCTCCCCCGACGGCCGCGGCGGCGGCTCGCTGCGCCCCTCGCCGGCGCCTCAGGCCGCTTGGTGGCGGCGGCGGCGGCGGCTGGCCCCCATGTGCCGAGCGCGCCGCGGCGGCGGAAAAGGTAAAGGCCGGGCCGCGAACTCCGCCTGACCCCGGGCTGAACTCGGGCGTGTTAAAGGAGCCGCCGCGGCATCTCCGCCTCCGAGGCAGCCAAGCGGGCGGCGGACTGCGGGCCGGGGGAGGAGCCGCCCGACGGGGCTCCCGACGGAACAGCCCCAGGTAGGAGGGGAGAAGCGCCCACCCAGCCCCCGGCGGGGGGAGGCCGGCCCTGAGGCCGGGGGCGGGCCAGGCCCGCCTGGGAAGGGCGCGCCGCGCGCTCCGGGATCCCAGAGCGCCCCGTCGGTTCTGCCCGAACCCCGAGGGGCCGGAGCGGGGGCGCGCCGCGGGAGCCCGCGGCGGGCGCGGACAGGCCCGGGCCGCCGCCGGGCGGGCACGCAGATCCGGGCGAGGAGGCGGCGACCCCGGACCAGCTCCCGGGCGAGGGAGCCTTCCGGCGAGGAGGTGGGTGAGGGCCGCGCGGGGAGGGCGGCGAGCGCAGAGGTCCCTCCTGTCGCCGTCTTGGACGCGCCCCCCCCCGCGCCTTCTTTCGCGCCCCCTCCCCGCGCTTGCTATTGTCTTCGCCGCGTGCGGGGAGGGGGGACGCGCTGCCGCGTAGGGCCCTGCGCTGCCAGGACTCGCTTGCGCGCCATCCTTCGCCCACTCTCCGGCCGATTCCTGGTCCTCCTGCCACAGCACCCCCCCCCCGGCGCCCTGCCGCTCCTCCCCCACCAAAGCCCCTCCAGCCAAGCCCAATTCCAGCCGGCGAGACTTTGCTGGGCTGCCGCCCCCTGGTGGCCGGCGCTGGGCCGCGCGGGATGGGCTCGGTCTCGATTCGGACTGCCCCGGCGGTCTGCCGGGGCCATGTCCTTCCCTTGCGGGGAACGGGTTCGGTTCCGAAGTGCCATTGCGCGAGGGGCGAGGTCCGGACCCCGAAGCGCGGGGACGCTCGGTTCGCCCCCTGCTTCGCCGGGCTTGGGACGGACAGGGCAGGAGTCGGGCTCCGGGCTGGCGCGCTTCTGGGGGGCTCCGGAGGGAGGATTGCCGTCCGGTGCTCCGTGGTTCGGCCCGGGAAGCCATTCCCGGGGGGAGCGGCCCCAAAGCGGGGAGCGAACGGGGGGCCCGGTAGAAGCTTCCGTGGCCTCTGATCCGCTCACCTGCCGCCGGACCTGATGAGGGCATTCCCACGAAATCTGGCAGACGGGAGAGAGGGGCCCGCGACCCCAGGGCCGCGCTGGCTGGCGGGTGAAGGCCCCCTTTTGCCGAACCGGGCGTCAACCGGCGCCTTCCACGCTGGGGGCTTCCCGGTGCCGCCGGGCTCTCGGCGGAGCAGCGGGGCGCAGGAACGCCGGCGAGGCCGCCCGCCGCTTGTCTCGGCCCGCGCGCCTGTTGCGGAGCGGGGGTCCTGTGCTGCTCGCGCCCCGGCCTTTGGGGCGCGGGGGGCAGCCGAGGCGAGGGAACGGGGGGGGGGGGCAAGAGCAGCGAGCCCCGCCGGCGAGGCGGCCTGCGACGCGAGCGAGTCCACGGCAGTTCGTCCCCAGCCTCCCTCCCGCCCCTTTGGCAGGGAAAAGGAGGGTGCAGATCCCAGCCGCAGGGACCCCCGCCCCGCGCAGCCCCGCACTCCCGTCTCGCCCCGCCGCTCACCTGCAGCCCCGGGGCCGAGGCCTGTCCCGGCTGGGCGGCACCGGGGACGGCGCGCTCGCCTACCCGCAGGCCAGTCGCGCCCGCGCTCTCGGGCGTGCCTTCGGCTCCCTCCTGGGCCCGCTTCGCTTCTCGCGCGGAGCCCCCGCTCCTTCGGCGCCCGCCGCCCCGAGCCCCGCTTCTCGGGAAGCCGCGGAGCCCCCGGCCGCCTCGGGAAGGCCGAGGCGGAGAGCCGCAGCCGAACCCGCGCAAAAGCGCAGCGATCCAAAGCGAGGAGCCTCGCGGGCCGCCCGTCCTGGGGCCTGGTCGGGATCCGGGCAGGGGGCGCGGAGGGCTGGGGGCAGTGCGTGTTAGGGGTCGAACCCAGATTCTGTCGTGCTTCGGGCAGACCCACGGAAATCAGTGGGACCCAAATTAGGCGTGTCTAACCCGGGAGCCATTTCCTCGCCATTGGGTCTTCTCTACCGGATCTGGATCCAGCCCAACGATCCTTCTCCTCGGAGGAGTTCGAATTAAACAAGAACGACCTCCCCCCACCGCACCCACCCACGGCCTCCCTGTCGGATTAAGTTGGGGAACGGGATCGGGCGTCGATTTGGGTCTCAAAGGAACTGAGCTAAGCAGGACTCCGGGAAAGTTCTCCCGTATTTTAATTCCAGGCGCAAATAGATAAATAATCGAAGAAAAAACCGTTAAAAATTAAGGGAACTTCCAAGGCCGAGGGAGCGAAATTAGTTCTCTGCATTTTCAGAATGTCAAAACATGCGAATGCATCTCCCCGCAAAATTGGTTAATTTCGGGTTTATATCGTGTGCAGCAGAAGCTAAACAAAAATTGAAATTTTTAGAAAGGTTTTCAGAAGCGGAAGGCGTGTGCGCGCGTCTCTGGGGTCGGCCGACCGTACACCCCGCAGGGCCCTCTTTAGAGGACGGCCTGGAGCGACCAGCGCCGAGGTGACTTTCGCTTTCTCCCCCACCCACCCCGCCGGCGTTGCGCGGCGGGCAGCCCTCCTCTTCCCCCTCTTCGTTTCGGGGAGAGAGCCCCCGAGCTCGCAAACGCCCCTCCGCCTGCTTGGGGAGCCTGCGCGGGCAGCGGGCGCGCCACGGCCGGAGACGCCGCTTCGGCGACTTTTCTCCCGAGTTTGGAGGCAGCTCCCGAGAGCGGCTGCACCGGCTGGGGATCCCTGCCTTCGGGAGCGCCCATTGCTCTGCCCCATTAGCAAGACTCATCGGAAGAATAGGATGAAACGCGGGGGACAACAGCAGTCGAACTGCAAGAAGGAAAATAAAACGAGAAACCGCCGCAGGAGCAGCGGGGCCCTCGCGATGCGCGCTGCCAGCGGCGAGGCCCGTGTGCTCTCCTCGCAGGCCGGGGCCTCTTCTGGGAGCCGCCCGCCTCGGCCCCACCGTTCTCCCCAGCGAGCCCCGAGCTCAGGAATAGGGGAGGAAGGGCGAGCCCCTCGTCCCGCTTCGTTCCGCGGCGCGTTTCTGGCTTTTCTCCGCCGCCGTGGGAGGGAAACGCGACGGGATTTCGGAAGGCCGTAATCCCAAATTAGGAGCGGTGGGGGGCTTTTTGCCTCCCCACACGAGCCCGGGCGCTGAGACACAATCCCTCCGGCAGGCCGCCGCCACGCTTCCCCGAGAGTAAGGCGTGCTGCGCTCGAGGAAGGCCCTTCGGCGGGGTCGGCCCGCAATCGGGGCCTCGGTGCGGCCCGGGCGGGGAGCGCGGAGTGGAATATGGAAAACCAGAAGCGGGGAGGAAACCGCGGAACGTTTCTGAAGATTGGACCAGTTGTCGGCCCTCTTCGGTCGCCGACATGCCTCAGTCGGGCTGCTGCGCCACCGGCCGCCCCCAGCCCCTGCCCCAATTTAGGAAGCGGGGCGAGTCCTGCCGAGTCGCGCGCGGCGCTTCATTCGCCGCCCTCGCAAAGGGCGCCTGCTCGGCCCGAGGGCGCGGCGCCGTGTAAACGCAGCCGAGGCGCAGTTGCTGGCCGCTTCGGCGCGGTCAACCGGCACCCCGGCCCCCGCCCGGGTCGGGGGCGCAGAGAGGCCCTTCCGCGCCTCTGGGGACAGGCCGTTTTGCGGCACCGGAGGGGCGAGGCGCGGGCGCCCCGCGACTTCTCCGGGGCAGCGCCGCGCCTCCTTTTCGGAACCGGACCGAGTGCGGGCGTCTTCGCGCGCGGCCCCCTGGGTCAGTGGGCTGCCAGCAGCCGTTGCCCCGCGAATTCTGGGGTGGGCGCCCTCCTTGCAACAGCCAACTCGCCATCCCTGGCACCTCCCGCTGCCGCAGCCCCAGGAACGTGGCACAGGGGCCTGGGAACGCCCGCAGCGCTCCATGGCCCCCCGAAGTGGCCAAGTTAGTCCAGGAAAGCTTCTCCCCAAATAAACGCGTGGACCTTTACGGTGCGTGAGACTCGCTGTTGTTTTGGGGGCAAGAGACACACCGAGGCTGCCCTGGTGGATTTTAACGCTGCCAGGCTCACTTTCTTCGCAAGGACGATGCGCATTTCCTCGAATGAGATTTGTGTCCCTCTCCAGCTTCACCCCACAGACGAAAATGGCTCTGGGAGAATATCTACAGTCATTCAGTGCAAGCTTTGCAGTCACACAGAGCTCCACTTCAGGCTGGATCTTCGGATGAAAGCGATGAAGCCTTGGGGTGACTCCAAAACTTGCTCTCCGCAATTTAAGGATAAGATGGCGGGACCGACATATTGTTTCTTGTGCTTCTTGGCCCAAGTCTGTGCTGCCATTAGTCAAATAAGCGGAAGGGATCTCCGTGCTCGTAGGCAGAACGCTGGGCCTGGGAGAAAATTTTGTGCCGGATATTTCCACGTGGCCCCAAAGATGAACAGAGTGTTTGGGCTTTTTTAAAAAATTCTTCCTTATTGCCTCTTGGTCTCTCTCCCTACCTACCTACCTGATCTATCCTCTGTCTAAAAATATTTCTGGGCTGCCTTGCAGGCCAGTTACAACATAAAACACACACAGAACAGGATACATTAAAGTGCCCAGCATGCCTGCAAGGGAATCCATGAAAACGGGTCGCCAGTGAGAGTCACGGAAAACTTGACCCCCCCAAGAGAAAGCAGCAACCCGGGCACAGGGAAAGGCCACGGGGGGCGGGCGGGGGGGCTTCAGGGATGTCCTGGAGACCAGCAAAGACGGGGCTGGATGAAGTCCTGAAGGACGCGGATTCCGGACCTAGCTGGAGCTCGGTGGTGGGCAGGGGGGAAGGGGCAGGGAGGGCTCCTCTCCATTTTTGGGTGGGCCCCAGGCCAGCCTAGCCCCATTAAAGCACCAGGCTGGCCTCTGGCCAGCCTCCTGCTTCCTGGATTCCCCCTGGGGGCTGTGAGAAGCCAAGCAGCTGGAAGGCCACTGTTCCTTCCGCTGTCTCATCAGATAGACCACCTCTGAACCTGGGGACTCTTCTGAAGCTCCCCTCATTCTCCAGCTGGCAGGGGGTGCTGGGAGTTGCAGTCCGGCACAGCTGGTCTCTGGTGCCGCCTTTTCCAACCGCCGGGCTCCTGCGCTCCACGGAACATGCTCCTCAGCCCCGTCCAGCGCCTGGGGTGGGGGTGGCGGGGCTGAGGACTGCCCGACCTTCCTCCTGCCCCACTCTGACCTTTGAGCTGCCCAGACAGCTCTGCTGGGGGGCGGGGGGCGTAAGGCTGGGATGAGGAAGGAGGAAGCTGCCCTGCCGCAGACCGAGGGCTGCCCAGCTACTTTCGCTTCCTCTTTCCCAGCGCTCCTTGCTCAACCGCAGCCTCCAACTCCACCACTTCGTTCGCAGCAAAGCAGCACTCCGGCCCGGCCCCCCATGGTCGCGATACCTGCCGAGGCCCAGGTACCAGTCCCGCGGCTCAGGCCACCTGTCCGTCTGGCCACAGGCCCCCAAGGCCGGCCGCGCACGGTGCAGGGAAGGCCAGGACCCCTGGCTGGAGGGGCCTCCTGCTCTGAGTCCGCGGCGGCGGCCACCCACCTGCCCCACTGGGAGCCTGCAGGCCTCGCGTGCCGTGGCTGGAGGGCTGGCGGGCGGCGGAGCCCGGAGGTGCCTCGTGCCCTGCGTGGGAGCGACTGCCGCCGGATCAGGGCTCCTCCCAGTTCTCACTGCAGAGCGGGACCCCGCCAGGAAGGTCAGTGACCGCCTGCGACAAGAGGGCCCGTAAAGCGTGAGCGGGGCACGGCCTCGCTGCCGGGAAGGCCGCTCAGAGGCACTTCACTGCCTCGGGGAGGCAAGCCACACGCGCATCCCTGCGGGAGGGGCGGAGCAGGGCTCCATGTCGTGAGGAAGAGGGGGAGCCCGGGGCCCCTGGGGCTGACCGGTCAGGGGACCTCACGGCAAGCCAAGCGGAGGGTTCGTGCGAGCAGGTGGGCCAGGCAAGGCGAGGAGAGGGGACGTCTCGAGGGGCACCCCGTCCACCCCACGCCCCGCAAAGGGAGAGACCGTGTTGCTCCCTGCTGGACAGGAAGAGGAACAGCAGAAGAGCATCGCTGGAGCCCTGCAGGGCTGGGCTTGGGTCCAGCCCGTCCTGCGGCAGGATCCCTCAAGCGGGAGCTCCTCCGGGCCGGGCGTCTGCAGAGGAAAGGTCCTTCGGAGCAAACGGCCCCAGTGAAGCAGCCGTGCCTCCGGCTGCGCTGCGCTGGCCGCCCTTCCCAACAGCGGTGCTACAAAACGGAGGCGAAGGCAGGCCCCAGACCAGGGGCGCTTCCTGGGAGCGGCGTTCCCCGGGCCGGTGCCGTCTGGCTGGGTCGAGCAGCTGAGCCATGCCCCCACGACGGGGCCTCGCGGGAGGCCGGCGTGGGCTGCAGTTCGCCAGAAGCTCGCCAGAAGCCTGGCCACCGCTCCTGCCACCGCCCGGACGAACGGGTCGTGAGTGGAGACGCCGTCTGTGCGTTTGCCTCGGTGGGATCCAAGGGGCCACCGGACAGTGTGGAAAAGCCCCAGAAGGTATTGCTCCAAGGGAACCGAAGCAGCCCATTCCCGGCTGATCTCTCTCTCCAGGAGCTCTCTGGATCAGCAGAGTTTTGGCCTGGCCGGCTTCGCTCGGGACGGCTCGTCGAACCTTAGGATAGCAGAGCTGGAAAGGGCCAGAAGGTCATCAGGTCCACCCCCTGCTCGTGCAGGACACCAGGTCACCCCATTCCATTCAGGGGCTCTGAAGCTTCGCCTTGAGTGTCTCCAGAGTGGGAGAGCCCCCCAGCTCTCCGCTAGCTGGGACCATCACTCTGTCAGCAAGGAAGCGTTTCCTGATATCTACCTTGAATCTGGGTTGTCACAACTTGAGCTGATTATCCTGTGTCCTTCACTCTGGCATCAGCAAGAAGAGCTCTTGACCTTCCTCTTTGTGGCAGCCTTTGAGGTCCTTATAGAGGGATCTCATGTCCCCTCTCAGCCTTCTCTTCTCAGGGCTGAACAGGCCCAGTTCTCCCAGTCTCTCTTCACATGGCAGTGTTTCCAGACCCTGGATCATTTTTGTCACCCTTCACTGGACCCTTTCTAATATTCCTGCATCTCTCTTAAATCTTGGTGCCCAGAACTGGACACAGGACTCCAGCTGAGGTCTGACCAGTGAGGAGCAGAGGGGAACTACTGCTTCTCGTGATTTGGAAGCCGTCCCCACAAGCGCCTCCCGAAGCCGCCGTGCAGCTCCCTCTCCAAGCAAGCGCTCCGCCGCCGCCAAAAGCCAAAGCGGGGAGCCCGGGCGCGATGCAGGAAAGGAAAGAAAAGGAAAGGAAAGGAAAGGAAATGAACAGCCAGCATCGCCGGGCTCCGCTGGGCAGTGGGGGACAGCCAAAGCCAGGCCCCCTCCTCACCTTGTGGGGCTCCGTTCTGCCCAAACACGCTTCGGATTGCGCCCTAGGAATTAAAACCAGAAAAGCAGTAAGGCGTATGAAATCCCTCCTCTTCTTGAAAAAGCAGGTTCCTAGCCCTTGTGGCTTGCGGAGATACGCTCGAAGGGCTGCGAGTAATGACCAGTGAAAGCTCAGCTCCTGACGCTCGCTCCTTGGGCTGCCGAGCCTGCGGGTTTAATGATCCCGTTCCGGTGCCCTTTCCTGGGGAGATCCGTGCCACTCGCTCAGTCCTGGGGGCCGGCAGGAGGGGAAGCGAGGAGTGCTGGAGACGGCTGAGGGGGGCCCTTCTCGGCCTGCTAGGGACCAGGAGCCAGGGCAGGAGCTCGACTGGCCCCCCCATGACCCGGGCAGGGGCCCTGCAACGGTCCCAGAGTGCGAGAGAAGCGCCGGATGGAGGAACGGAGGCACAAGCAGCAACGAAGCGGTTCTCCTGCTCCTGGAAGCCCCGCTGGCCCTCCGCACTCAGGCCTGAGGGGTGCCCCACGGACCCACTAAGGCCTCGGCTAGCTCGGCACTCGCAGGGCCTCCTCCTCTCCTCCTGGTTGCCACCCTGCGCTCTGAGGGACGCTGCACCCACGGACCGCAAGGAGAACCGCAGCTGTCAAGGCCCCACCTCCAAACATTTTCTCTTGCGTAGCTGATCGCCCTTCAGCCTCACCCTGCCTGGCACCTTTGCCTCTGCAAGGCCCCTTTGATGGAGCCTCCCCCTCCAGGCGCAGTCTACCTTGGGGTCCTGGATCCAGGGGAGCTGCAGCAGGAGAACAGACCTCTGAGCCTGCTCTCCCATCCCTGTCAGGGCTGCCCAGTGACGAGTCTGACTGTTTCACTTACTTAAAAATTAAATGGAGTGTTAGAGGAGCTCAGAGATGCTTGAGCTTTGGGCAGTCTTTCGGGGCCACCGCTAAGAGGCCACTGCCTTTCTGATGCAGCCAAGCGGCCACTTCAGCTCGCTGGGACGGGCTCTCGCCACCAGCTTGCAGGGCCGGGCAGCGGTCTTTCAGGCAGCTGGGTCCCGAGCCGGGGGGAGCTCCCGCCCAGAGCAGACCGCTGGCCAGGCAGCTGCCCTTTGCTGGGACGGGGCCTCCGCGCAGGGAGCAGGTGCGTTCTGCCCCACACAGGAAGCCTCCAACTGGACCCCCGGCCTCCCCCACTCGAAGGGGCTCTTGTAGGCTCTGGAAGGACCCCTGTCTGAGGACCGGCTGCAGAGCCCACGGCTGAACCTGGGTCGGAGGTTCGTGGGGCTCTGCACTGCTGCTGAAGAGGCACGTGATGGAGGCCTTCCCAGCGCCTGTTGCAACCCCCCCGTCCCCCCCCCCCGGGATGCTGCCGGGGCTGGTGGAGAGGTGAGCGTAAGGGGGGGGCTGGGTTGGGGAACGCAGCCCTTGTCTTCGGCTAATTGTCGGAAACCCTTCTCCGAGAGGCTCCGCAAGCGCTGCTGGCATGAGCAACGGCTCCCCAGGGCCCAATCCGAGGGATTTATGGGCCTGTTCTGTGTAAATCACGCCCGCCCCACCTCCAGGCAGCCCGGAGGCAGCCGCCTCCCGCAGCTCTGTGGAAAGGAAAGCGCCGAGTGACATCCCGGGCCGGCCCCTGGCTGTGCCGCCACCCATGAGGAGGGCATCCACCCGGCACTCGCTCCGCCGGCCGCAGGAGCCTGGGGCGCGGTGGGATGGGGACGGGGAGGCCACAGGACCCGTCCCCGGCCGGGCACGGCAGAGCGGCCACGCCGCGAATCGGGGCAGGGCGCCCACGGCTCGGCCCCCTGCACTCCAGGCGGCAGCAGGTGCGGGACAGAGCCTGCCTCCGACAGGCACCTGCGGCCGAGCTGGGGGTCGCCCTCTCGGGGTTTGCTCCTGTGGGGAAGCCCTGGGGGGCTTCGCTTGGTCCCTGCTCACAGACCCCCTGGGGGGCAGCTCCCACCCTGCGGCCCATCCCCCGGGCAGGTCTTCCCCCGGGATGCCCGCTCGAGGCAGAACCAGGGCTCAGGCCTCCTTCGGCTGCTGCCCGGGGAAGGCTGCGGGGGAACGGAGGGGGCCCAGTTCTCCGCGGGGCACGGACAGCCACCTCTGCTCAACTCGTCCTCTCGGCGGGGAGGTCTGCCGGACCCCCCCCCACCCGCACCCGCCTCCATTAATCAATGCGCAGGCGACCGGCCAGATGCTGGGAGCCGTGCGCCCCGTCCAGCTGCGGCTTGGCGCATGCTCGGCCGCAGGCCCGCCCCGCCCCCTTGGACGGGAGACAAGCCCCCGTTTCCGCGCTTCCCCCGAAGCCCCTCGCACCTGGCTTCCATTAGCGGGGTCTTGGCTGCCCGCACCAAGCCACTCGCAGAGCACCGCCAGGACGGAGCCCCGGGGCAGCGCGCCGTTAATTTTCCTGCTGGCTTCCCAGTGCCACGCCGGCGGGTGCCTGCCGGGGCTTAACCCTTGCGCGGCCGTGGCTGCGGCCTGCCTGGGGCCGGGGCTTCTCACGGGGCGGGGGAGGACACCCCGGGTCCCCCGCCCCTCACCCCCAAAGGGTGTCCCACTCCCCTGCAGGCCCCATGGTTCCCCTACTACCCCCTCCTGCAGTCCACATCAGAGAACCCTTGCCGCTGGCCTGGCTCCTCTGGGCATGTGCAAAGTGCCATGGCTGGTCTCCAGGCTGAGGCACACAGGAAGGCAGCGCAGCCTCCTGGTGTGTGTGAGCAGCAGCAGCCAGGCGAGGGGGGGCTCGCATGCTGGGGGAGAGCGTCCGTCCATCCTCAAGACCAGTGGGCAAATTCCAAGACCAGGCCCTGAAACGGGCCTGGCCACTCAGACGTGCCAGTTCTCCCTCTGGAAGAGTGCCTCTGAACATGTCAAGAGTGCGGTTTCTAGTCGTCCCAATTCTTCTGTTCTCCCAGAGGGGGTGTCCATGCCAGTGTAGGGATGCTTTCGTGGCAGCCGCGAGGGAGGGTGCCCAGGTTCAGCCAGGAGACACTTCTTTCGCCTTGAGCCTCAGAACCTTATTGAAAGAGCACCCAGGACCCGGCAGGGATTATGACGGCCTGGTCCTCACCTCCACCTGCAGGATCGCAGCCCATGTGCAGACAAGTTCATAACCTGCCAATCATGTACAGGTTTCCGCATCATGTTAACATAACAGCATCTTAATGCCTTCACACCCAAAGCATAACTCTAGTCCAGTGGTGGCGAACCAATGGCAGGCGTGACACAGCGGGAGCCAAGCCGCCCAGCGCCATCCAGCAGCCGAGCATCGGAGAGCAGCGCACAGACGGGCCGTGCGCACGCTCGGAAAGGAGCAGCAGTGCCAGGCGATGAGGCCACGAGCCGCCACTCATTAGCCGCGACTCGTCCGAGATTTCACATGGCTGGTCAGTGCGCTGCCAAGCACACACATACACATACATACATATATTTCGACTGGCTGTGAGGTGTTTTCTCTCAACTAAAACCTCAATATTCAGGTTTTATTGTAGTGTTAGCACAATGCAATTAATAAGTGGGTTTTGGGTTGCAGTTTGGACACTCGGTGTCTAAAAGGTTTGCAATCAATGGGTTAGGGTAGGAAAAACGAGGGATCCTGGAGTGGTTCTGATGATTGGCATGTGCTGAGAATGGGCAGAAAGGATGAGCTGTGCAGAAAAACCTACTCAAGGAGGGCTTTTTCAAAATCACCCTGTTTGCAGTGGAACTTTACCCCCAAAATAGGGTTAGGGGTGGGCACCAGGTTAGGGTTAGGGTTAGAAAAAGGAGGGGTACTAGAGCAATTCTGCTGGTTGGAATGTGTTTAGAGTGGGCAGAAAGGATGAGCTGTGCAGAAAAACCTACTCAAGGAGGGCTTTTTCAAAATCGCCCTGTTTTCAGTGGAACTTTACCCCCATAATAGGGTGAGGGGTGGGCACCAGGTTAGGGTTAGGGTTAGAAAAACGAGGGGTCCTGGAGCGATTCTGATGGTTGGAATGTGTTTAGAGTGGGCAGAAAGGA